AAGGGCAGCCAAGAGAGAAATGCTTAGAACAGGGCTTCACTTTAGAGTCAAGCCTGGTTAAAGGTCCAGATGGTTCAATGGATTTTCTTACCTATTTGATCAATCTCAGGGCCCTTACTTTTAATGGTCATATTTAAAACCATTGGATCATAGAGGTAAAAGGAACTTCAAAGATCAATATTAAAATTTTCTTATTTTTGCTCAAGAATGCTGAGGTCCAAAGAGGGAATTGAACTTGCCCCAGGTGCTCTTGCCTTAAAGTAGACTTTGAATCCACATATTCTGAACCTTGCTCTTAGTTAGACGCCATGGCCCCTTCCTTCCTCTTCTCTGCAAGCTTCAAGGCTTGCCCCATGACTTGACAACTTCTCACTCCTCTGTCTTCCCCCAAACTCCCATCTTCCTGCCACCAGACCACTCAGGATTGTTTTCTTTTTCCCTACAGAGCCTGGTCTCTCTCCTTAAGCTCCTTTTGTCAGGAAGGAAAAGAGACTTAATGTGTGCTGAGTACCTGCTCTTTACCAGGCATTGTGCTAAGTGCTTTACCTGTGTTAGCAGATGAGGAGGCTGCAGGTCAAAGAGGTAAATGCCCAAGATCATGCAGCTATTAAAGAATAGAGCTGGGGGAGGTGCCTGGGGGGCACAGTTATTTAAGCGTCTGACTCTTGGTTTTGGCTCAGGCCATGATCTCAGGCTCGTGAGATTGAGCTCCGAGTTGGGCTCTGCTCTCAGGACAGAGTTGACTTGAGATTCTCCCTCTCCCTCTGCCCCTCCCCCTGCACTCTCTTGCTATCTCTTTCTCTCTCTTTCAAATAAATAAATAAATCTTAACAACAACAACAACAACAACAACAAAAGAATAGAGCTGGAATCCACATTTCTCTGGGGAGGTTCTTTCTCCAGCTAGAATAAGGGGACCACACCCAGTGGTACCATGCTTGGGCGTAGTTGTAATAAGCAAAGGGAGGGTGAAAATGGTACCTCCATGCTACATTTCCATTCTCTGCCACGTTCTTCCAGCTCAACTGTTTCTTGTTTCCATGCCAACAAAGACATTTTGATTCAATAAGAGCAATGCCTGTTATCTGTAAATGAGGTGATTTATTTTTTTCTGCTCTGTACCTTCCCATCATAAATAGAACACATTTCATGGTGGTGCACACAGAGCACTTCTTTGCACTCTTATAGGTCCAGCATCAGAGTCAAAGCAAATCAGCAAATATTTGGTGGGTGCCCACGATGCCCAAGGTAAAAGGAGTGATGTGTGAGTTCCTCTGTTTGAGTTGGTTACTGGCTTCAAGAGGGATGACTCAGGTGCCACTCAACAAGTCAACGTGCCAAAAATAAAGATGTTCCATGAGGAAACCAGCCGTTGGCCACCCCTCAATTCACCTCCAAGCCTTTTCTGTCACGTCTCTCCACTCCCAGCCTAGTCCTGTTGCCACGGCCACCGCCACATCCTGCTCACCCATTTTGGTGCTGTGGCTGAGATTTCGCCTTACCTCTTCTGAAAATGGCCCAGGTGATGTAGTGGAAAGACTGGGTGCCTGGGCTCCTGACTCCCTGATCCTCCTCTGTTACAGGACCCAGGTGAGGGAAAAACCCACTGGACCTCATTTTCTGCATTTGTAAATAGGGGGCTCTCCCAAAGGAAATTAAGACAGGATATGGAAGAGCTATCTAGACTCCCATGGTTATTGCAGCATTTTCCCCAATAGCCAAGATATGGAAATAACTTAAGTGTCTGTCAGTCAAGCGATGAACGGATAAAGATGATGCAGTACACACACACACACACACACACACACACACACACACACAATGGTATGTTGTTCAGCTATGAGAAAGAAGGAAATCCTGCCATTTGCAATAACATGGATGGACCTTGAGAACATTATGCTAAGTGAAATAAGTCAGACAGAGATACACAAATACTGCATGATATCACTTATATGTGGAATCTAAAAAAGCCAAACTCATAAAAACAGAGTAAAATGGTGATTACCAGGGGCTGGGGCTGGGAGAATAGAAAAAGTTTTTTTTTTTTTTTTAAGATTTTATTTATTTATTCATGAGAGACAGAGAGAGAGGCAGAGGGAGAAGCAGCCTCCCAAGGAGCAGGGAGCCCGATGCAGGACTTGATCCCAGGACTCTGGGATCATGACCTGAGCCGAAGGCAGACGCTTAACCATCTGAGCCACCCAGGCGCCCGAAGAGGTATTTTTTAAGGGCACAAACTTGCAACTAGGAGACAAGTCCTGGAGATCTAATGCACAGTGTAGTGAATAAAGACAACATTGTATGTCATCAAACTTGCTGAGACACTAGATCTTAATTATTCCCACCACAAAAAAAGAAATGATAATTATGTGCCATGATAATTAGGTGCTAATGATCTCAATCTAATGGCAATCATATTGTAATATATCAATGTATCAAATAAACATGTGCTTCACCTGAAACTCACAGTGTTATATGTCAAATATACTTTGATAACAAAGAACACTGTAATGAGGGGGTTCTACTTAATAAAAAAATTTCAGTTTAAACCTTTATAACTTTTCTGTGTCTGTCCCTGTTCACTCACTCTGTTCAAGACTTTAACCAAAACTCTTTAAAAATTGTTTTCTCCTAACTCATTGTAATTCACTCTGAGCTTCAACACACTTAACTAAGTATTTTTTTTTTAAGATTTTATTTATTTATTTGAGAAAGAGAGCATGAAAGAGAGAGAGAGAAAACACGAGCACGGGGGAGGGGCAGAGGGAGAGGGAGAAGCAGGCTCTCTGCTGAACAGGGAGCCTGATGCGGGATTCGATCCCAGGACCCTGGGATCATGACCTGGGCTGAAGGCAGATGCTTAGCCGACTGAGCCATCCAGGTGCTAATAACTAAGTAGTTTTTATATTGTTTTGTTTTTATAGGCTCCTAGGATAGTTTCACAGTTGTTTATTTTGTTTTCGAGCAAGATTGTTGACTACTGAATGTAGAATTGCATCATTCATATATTTACAATCCCAGGCACTCAACAAATTTGTATTGTATGAATAGACCTTAACTGTGAATTCCTATGTATTAACTTGTCGCAGATAATATTTTTTCATTTGGTCTGCTGTTAAATTCTTAACAATTTAGATATTTTTATAAGTATACTCATAGACTTGTGCAGGTAGAAAAGATTCCCAAGTGGGTGTCAGGAAAATGTTATCCAGTTGGGGTAGTATGCTTGTCTCAAATTATAAAATACACGAAAGAGTTTATGCTGATTAATTTCCTTGGTCTTTTTAACTCTACATCTTTCTGATGTAGATTCTGATATTTATTGTTCACGTGAGTGCAGTCGAAGGTAAAATTGTCCACAGGATCAGGGATTCTGGATTCTGGTGGTTGTTACCTCTCCCTTGCGCCAATTAAACTTAGACAAAGCAAGGACCTTTATTCCTTGATATTGATTGAGTCCCCATCAAATTCCAGGCACTGTGTTGACATAGCAGAGGGAAGCCCTCAAGGAGCTTCAAGTTTGAATAGGAAGACAAAGCAAATAAAAATTATTGGAAATTGTGACAAACATTTGAAGAAAGCCAATGAGTGCCCCAAACAGAGAATAATCGGGCTGAGGGGAAGCTGGGGCAAGGCTCTTTGAGAAGATGGCATCGAAGCTGAAACCTGAAGGAAGAGGAGTGCCATCAGGAGAAGGAGGGCAGAGACAAGAGCACATTCAAAGGCCCTGAGGAGGGGGAAGACTCTGGTATATGGGAGGAACCAAAAGAATGTTGGCAAGTTTTCAATCATGGAGTCTGGGCACAGAGGCTGAGCAAAGTTTCAAGCCCACCATGCTAGAGAGTGGAGAATCCACGTTTGTGCTTTTTCCTGCCTGCCATGCTTCAAGGACTTACAGTCTGCTGGGTGTGGGTGTCTCTGTAAGGAAGTCAGAATGGATCACCTGTCAGGACCAAGGAGGCTGGGGCTTGGCTGACAGGATGTGGAGTGTGTGTACTTTCTGTTTATTCTTGAAGTTTACTTCCCTGCAAATCCATGCCTAACTGCCATGCACCCCTTCTACAAGGAAGCCAACACCAGCACTCCATCGTTCATGAGCAACCCTGCAAAAACAAATCCATATCCTCCATGCAACCCTAGGTGCCAGCCAGTCAGGCCTGCACTGGCCGGGCAGCCCAGAGCTTAGGAACAATCCGCTCCTCAGGAAGGGAGGGAAGAAAAACAATTTCAAATTCCAGGCGCTGAGGGCCTCTTACAGACAGCCATTGTCGGGAGAAGGGCAAACAAAACTGAGTAAAGGAGCCCCAGTGGCGCCTCTGGAAAGCGAGAGGATATTGAGGTTAGGGACTGCTGCTCGGGGTGCGTGAACGGTGGGGCTGGGGATGGGTGATCTGAAGACAAGGCTCAACAGTGAGCTTGGGCAGCTTGTCTTTAGGGGGAGTCAGCTTCCCCATATTTAAAATTATGAGAAGAGTAATATGTGCCCTCGGGTTGAACACAGGAATGAGGATAGTCTTAGGAAAGGGTAACAGACTCTTTAGACGTCAGGGGTTCCCACAGGGAGCTGCCTCCCTCTTTAATTATGTTGTTAGCTAGACTTTCTCCCTCTCCCACCCCAGAGTGTCTTAGTGACTTTCACCCTCCTGGGCAAAACCGTGTGAGCAGAGTCCTGTAGTTTCCTATTTCCAAAGATGAAGTTGGTGGGTGAATGTTTTTCAGTGTGATCTAGAAAGGCTTAGTTAGCTGCAAAATGGTGCCATCAAGTCTTAAACAGCAGGAGCCAGCATGGAGAGATGCAGTCGGGCTCTTTTGACACTTGATGACATATGATGATATATGATGAATGATCGTGATAAAGAGGAGGATGATGGTGACGGTGGCCCTTTACTGAGTTGACTGAATATTACTGCCCACCAGGTGTCTTAGCTCAGCTACTGTAACAAAAATATCACACACTGTGTGGCTTATAAACAACAGAAATTTATTTCTTATAGCTCTGGAGGCTGGGAAGTCCAAGATCAAGACACCGACAGATGCAGTGTCTGGCGAGATCCTACTTCCTTCCTCCTAGACGACTTTCTTCTTCATGGGTAATTCACATGACAGAAGGGGAACTCTCTGGGGTCTCTTGTGTCAGGACATTAATCCATTCATGAGGGCTCTACCCTCAGAACCCAGTCACCTCCCAAAGGCCCCACCTCTTAATACCACCCCATTGGGGGATAAGGTTTCAACATATGAACTTTGGGGAGATATGAGCTGTCCATTCCCCCTGGTAACTAATACTCAGCACTTCATTCTTATTGTCTAAATTGATCCTCACAACAACTCTATCGGGCAGGTGCTAGGGCAGCCCCCATTTTGCAGATGAGAAGACTGAACCACAAAGAGGTTGACAATTTGCCCGAGGTCATGCTGTTAGTAAATGGTAGAGCTCACTCTCAAAGCCATGTGTATCTGACTTCAAAAAGGATGATCCACCAATTAAATATGGATCATTCTTGAGAGATGAACCTTGAAATCTGAGTAACTTATCTTTTTAACAAACTTGCGTAAGCATATATAAACTACATTTAACATTTATTGGTTAAAAACCATTTTATCATATGGGATTGCTTAATTTGTTGCATTGCACCCTCTTCCTTAGAGCTTTCAGACCAACAAAATATTGATATAATGCAAAAACTCAGCTGTGGGCTTATACTATTGGTTTTCCATCATATGCTTTTTAGTCTAGTAATAGCCAGAGAAAGGAAAGGTAGGGAAAATAATTTCCAGACAGATGGAACAGCAGAGGCAAAAATCAGGTATCACGAGAAATATGGCAGGTTCTGGGGACTACAAGTCAGTGTGATGGTTGGACTGTAGAGGGCTGGGGGTATCTGGGGTAGGGTGTGAGATGAAGCTGGGAAAATAGGCTGGTTCCAGATCAGAAAAGGCTCTTTATATAATGTTTAGGACTTTAGAGTTTATCCACAAGCAAATGAAGGTTATGAAGCTGGAGACAGACGAGGTCCAATTTGCATTTTTAGAATAGAATGGTGACTGCAATTGACCACTTCTCATGCTGTAGACCTAGATTCATTCCTTCTCCCACCCACACTCAGATTGTGAGAGCAGTTGAATTTTTTTTCATGATCGGTCGAATACTCCACTGATGCCTCTGAAGAGTTATACATGTTCCTCTTTGGTGTCAGAAAGTTGAGCTAACCACAGCCCTGCCCTAACCCACTGAGAACATGGGCTCCCTTCCTGGTGTTCAGTCCAGGAGTGTACTCCCCACCATTTTTCTTTATGGGATACTAAAAAGACAGGTGCTGGGTTTCAAGGCTTTCAGTCTATTCACTATTCGCCTTTATGCTGAGTTTTGAATAATGTTTAGCTGAAGCCACTTGGGCGCAGAAACTGATGTGAGGTCATAAGTGGTTTTTCACCTTAGCTGTAAGTCATCCTACACATCAGGAAAGGAAAAGGTTGAAAAGAACCATGGCATCTCTGTACTTAATGACAAATAGAATGTGCTTTTTCTTTTAAGATTTTATTTATTTATTTGACAGGGAGAAAGACAGCGAAAGAGGGAACACAAGCAGGGGGAGAGGGAGAGGGAGAAGCAGGCTTCCCGCCGAGCAGGGAGCCTGATGTGGGGCTCGATCCCAAGACCCTGGGATCATGACCTGAGCCAAAGGCAGACGCTTAACGACTGAGCCACCCAAGCGCCCCTCGAATGTGCTTTTTCATCTCCTGTTGGCACTTAGATCCTTAAATGTAGTCTCTACTACCACCAAAGCAGGATATCCAGTTAAGTGACAGGTGAATAAAGATTTTAAAAATTGGGCACATTGGCCTTTAAATGTGTCCAGTCTGCTAACCTCTCTCCTTGACTTCATTTTTCCTTGAAGTCAGTGACACCAGCTTTGTTCAGTCCACATCAGAAACCATGGGTCGGGCGCCTGGGTGGCTCAGTTGGTTAAGCGACTGCCTTCGGCTCAGGTCATGATCCTGGAGTCCTGGGATCGAGTCCCACATCGGGCTCCCTGCTCAGCAGGGAGTCTGCTTCTCCCCCTGACCCTCCCCACTCTCATGCTCTCTCTATCTCATTCTCTCTCTCAAATAAATAAATAAAATCTTTAAAAAAAAAAAAAAAAGAAACCATGGGTCAATGTGGGAGGCATGAAGGGGTGGGGGGGGGATGTATAGATCCGGACTTGTTTTAACATTGGGAGTGCTTTGTACTTTTTCTGATTCAATTGTCCAATTTATTCAGATCACTAAATAACAAATTTCTTGAGGCTCAGTTGTGAAGGCCAACTAACTGGAATCGAGGAGCCTGGGTAATGACTGTGCCAGGAAGCAGAGCCAGAAAATTCCTTCCTTGTTACTTCATAGGTGTCAGGTCTTCAGAAGGTGAAGGACTGTTGTTTGCAGGGTGGGCCTTTGTCGCCTGAATGGAGCTTGGGAAACTTCGCAGCTCCTCTTCGAACTCCCCCGTAAGAAGTCAGAGCAAACACTGGAGGTCAATGACTAAATCATGCCTTAAACCCTTTCCATGAAGTCAAATTCCACTGCCAGCTGTTTAACCAGGACATCTGGTACCTGGATGTGAAATGCTGACATCTATTTTTGAAGGGACAGTCCAGTGGATGATCACCTACCACCACCTTCTGACCAAAGGAAGAAGAAGGAATAAAAATAGCAGAACATGCTGTGTTGTCTTTGATGTAGTTAAATGGTTTGACAGCCCCGATGGCATATTTGAAGGTTGACCACCAAACAATTGGTTATAATTACATATTTCTCTTCCATTTTATTTTCCCAGGGTGAAGTGGCTTCAAGTTCTGAATCTTCTCCATGTCAGAAGCCGTGGTTAACTTAGGAGGAGAGCAATATATTGTGATTAAGCAAACCTATTGAGGTGCACTTTTGTATGGCAACAAACTTCCTGTTTAGCTCAGAGCTTCAGTTCTCTAACAAACACAGTGGAGAAATAATCCAACATCATGAATACCACTGTTTGTATCTTCACTAACTTCTTAAAAATCAGTAATCTGTGTTGAATGGACATGATGGCAGGCAGACACATTTGTTCTTGGTATTTTAACACTTTTCACCTTTAGTCGGGTAGTTGTATCATTATTAAAATGTATGAAAACATTTGAAGATCAGGCAGACAGTCTCTCCTCTGCTGTCCTGCTTGTCATCCCTTGTAGTGTCTTCAATAAACGTCTATCTCCTTAAAAAAAAAAATTAAAGATTATGTATAAGACTTTGTGTCAGGTTCTTCAAGGAACCCCCCTCCCCCATGGGTATTCTTCTGTAATGGGGGATGCATTGCAAGGGTTGATGTGGGTTTCGGGGGAGAAAGGAATGCTATGTCCTCTATCACAGTGTCTCCCTAGATCTTAGTAGATCCCAGACTGTGAGGTATATCAGCCCTCATGGAGAACTGGGCTTCAGAGACTAGCCTTCTCTTTGCCTAATAGTCATAGTTTCTGAAAGAAAGGATTTTCTTTCAGGGCTGAGATGCCGCCATCCTACATGGACAGCCTTATTGGGCAGAATTAAGGGACAACATGCCCAAAGACATTTAGCTTTTTTCATATCCAGTGTGCATGTGGCTATCTTTGACTTATCATCCCTTGATTGGGGCTATCAGGTGTGGTAAGAGAGCAGGGCAGGCTGGTTTATCCATACAACATGGCAGGAACTATATCATAATATATAAGAATGAACCATTTTAGCCATTTTTCCTTAATTGTGTGTGAACAATTAGGGCATCTGATGATTTGGTGCAACTCCTGCAGCCCCTTGCTCATGCCATTCTCATCTTGTCCAAAACCTTGGAGTATAATGTCACTGGTGAGCCATTTACCAATGCATTTTGTCCCAGGGATAAAATTTGGTCTTTATAGGTGTATCTAAAAGACCTCTCTTTGCCTAACGTGTATTTAATTAAGCCTACAGACATACCAGGTGGAAGCCCAAGGAACCTCAAGTGAAGACTGAAGATGAGCTCTTAGAACCACTGGTTCCCTTGTCAATGCGAGTTTTGTCCAGAGATCTCTGGGAATCCTCAGATTAGCTAAAATCTGAATGTTGATCCTACTGTTGTATTGGATCTTGCTCTGCTCTTGCATCACGTTTCCCTTGAGAATGATGTGTTTTCAGTAGACATCATGACACCATGAGACAAACTGCATTAAGTAAATGTTTCTACACTGTAGTCTCTTTGCTTGTCATTTCTTGCAGAGCCGGGACTATGGTGAGGTGAGCAACATACCTAGAGAGCAAAATGTAAGGAAACACTCACTCTCAGGGTCATATAGGTGCACGGTTGGTGCCTGAGAGTGAGTGCCTCCCGACTTTTCGCACACTCGGTGCTTCTTTACTTCACCCAAGCACTGAATGAAATCATGTTTTCATTAATTTTTCACAATCATAATATTAGCAACAACAGGTTCCTATTGAAATGGGGACTTCCATGTATTTGGACTTTCAAGCCAGATATTCCCTAATACCCGTCTACTCATAACACATGGGACTTGAAGCTGTGAATTGCTGAAGGTCAAGAATTCTCAGAGTAGCTCTCTAATAAGAGAAATGTCACATATCAAGCCCCAAGACTCCTTATTGTCAGCATGGCCTATGAGGCAACTGATCCTTGTACCAGTTCACTGATTCATTCCTTTAACATATATTTATTGAACCCCTGCTCTGTGCTGGAGACTGTTCTAGATGCTGGGATCACAGCCATGATTAAATTAATCAATGTCTGTGCCCACATAAAGCTTATATTCTAGCAGGGGAGGCAGATCAAAGGTAAACAAATATGTGATATGATGCCAGTAAAAAAAAAATAAAGCAGATCTAGAGGGTAGCAAGTGTTGGGTAGTGGAGGGTGCCATTTTAGAGCAAGTGGCCAGGAACGATCTCTCTGAGAAAGTGGCATTTGAGTAGGATCTTGAGTGACGAAGGAGAGACACAAAATGCAAGCATCACGTAGAAGTACAGTAGTTATTTTGTGAACTAAATGCTTTCTACAGAGCATTTGACTTTTCAGTAAGAAAGTACAAGGTCAACGTTGACAACAATGTCAGAACGAGACTGTCACTCACCAAGCAAGGCTTTCTGAGCTATTTTAATCTACTTGCTGTGGCAAGAGGGAGGAGGTGGGGTAGATGGTCCATAAAACTGTTGGCTCCCTGGGCATCATGTTCAGACTGGGGATTTGAGGTCTGCTGAGTGATCCTCTGTTTGTTCTTCTGAATTAAATTAGAATTGGGCCGGCTCCATTTCGCGGTTTTGTTCTTCAGTCTCTGGTGGACCCGAGCATCAGCCAGTTTTCGTTTGTGTTGATTCACTTGGAGGAAAAAACTGCCTGACTTGTGTGAAATGCAACCATTTCTGGTCGGTGGCTGCAGATGCTGTTTCCATTAGCCTTTCTGGGGGGCAACGTTGGTAGGGTTTTCAATGATGCTGCACGTGGCACGACCCAGGAGTGCTCGTGCAGTGGATTTCAAGGCCCCACCTGAGGCTGGGGGTGGACAAAACCTGCAAAGACATTATTATGTGCAGTTGATGGGGCCGGCGAATACGTCAGGGGAGGCCCGGACTCCACCTCGATGGGTGAAGCTCTAGCCTGGGATGAGCACTTTGGCTTGAAGACAGGGGCTGGTTTGGGCAGCCTCTTTCTTCTCCTCCATGGCATTCAGATGAAGTTTACATCACAAAGGGATCCGGGTAAGTGTGACTGAGAGTGCTGGGAGATGCCCCGGGACATCCTTGGCCAGAGGTAATATTGTAGCCCTGTTCCGAGCCAAATATTAAATTTGGGCAAAAAATGAGCTCTGCAGCTCAACACTTTCCTGCTTTACCTTGATGAGTTGTCAGGTGAAAAAGCTCAGGACCTCAGCTCTACCTGCTCCTCCCTTATATCCCCCCTTCCTCTTCCAACTGCAAACTCCCCAGCTCACTGCGGTGACCCGAGTAGATGTGTGTCACGCTCCAGGAAGATTGGTGGGAAGAACACAGGGAAGAAAGAAAAGGCACAAGGGAAAGAAGGAAGAAGAAATTTCTAACCCATCCAGAGTCAGTCTTAGAGACATTGCCCTACAGGACACGGTACTGGCCTCAGGAGTTAAAATGGTCCGGTTCAGATTTGACCCTCTGTGGAAAGCACTGTGTGACTCAGACACCTATCTGAGCCTTGGGTTTTCCTCATCTGTAAAGGATTCATTTCAGCAAAATAACATCAGTCGAATGATGCTGTGGAATTGCTGAGCAAATTGCCTAACTCATCATACAAGCGTGTAACTTGAGAGTTGTTTCATCTTTACTTTAGACACCGAGACCCCCATGTTGAGAGGAGGGCGCGCTGCCTGGTGGGGCATGAGGTGGCACCCACCCACCCCAGGCCCACAAGGTCTGGGCCTTTACATAGCTAAGAGTTTTGAACAATCCCAAAGCTTCTGCTAATACAAGAACTTCATAGAGGTTCAGATGCCAAGGAAGCCATCGAAAGCAGTGATGGTTACTTTCATGTCGACTCGGCAAAGATAGAGCACTGACTATTTAATCAAACAGTTGTCTAAACATGCTGAAAAGGTATTTTTGCAGGTGTGGTTAACATTTACAACCAGTGGTTCTGTAAGTAAAGGAGAGTACCTCCAAAATGCAAGTGGGCCTTGTTCAATCAGTTGAAAGACTTAGGAGCAAAAGCTAAGGTTTCCCAGAAAAGAAGAAATTTGCTTCTAGATTGCAGAATCAATCCACAGCTGAGGTTTTAAAAAATTCAATTAATTAATTAATTAATTAATTAATTAATTTGAGAGAGAGAGAGAGAGAGAGAGCATGTGGAAGGAGGGGCAGGGACAAATAGAGGCCCCCTGAGCCCAGAGCCTGACGTGGGGCTTGACCTCATGACCCTGAGATCATGACCTGAGCCGAGACCAAGACTCAGACGCTTAGCCAACTGAGCCACGCAGGCACCCCCACACCTGAGTTTTTAGCTTGCTGGCCTGCCCTATGGATTTTGGATTTCCTAGTCCCCATAATCACATGAGCAAATTCCTGAAAATAAATTTCTTTATTATCCGCACACAGAGATATATACACACACACACACATATGTATCATGTAAAAAATATATTTTATGATTATTATACATACACATATATAATGTGTATTATAAAAGTGTATTTATCTTTATATGTAAACTATATTAAATATATAAAATAAACATTATATATATATGTAAATATATATTAATGCCCTATTGATTCTGTTTCTCTGGCTAAACCCGACTGGCATAGAAACTCATGACTTACACATGTCTGTGGATAATTTTTAGCTGGAATCTTTTTTCAGCTCATCTATTATAGGAATCTAGACTTGAGTCTTTAATGAAAACAAACAGAGAAAAAGGATGAAGGCAGGAGCTCCTGGCTCGGTGGGGACCGGTGTGGGGAAGGATTTCCTAATCCTAACCTGAAAAGGGAATTTCAGGGTGGAACGGATGGCATCCCAAACCCCAGCCCGGCGTCCCGTCTCTGAAAGGCTCAGGGAGGAGTAAACAATTTGGGTGGGGTGTGGAGTTTTGCTGGCCCCATTGCCTAGCATTCTGGGCCTTTCCCCCAGGCTTGGTCATGGTGGTTTGTTCAAAATTAGTTCTTGTTTGGCCTGCGGGGGAAGAGTGAATTGTAGTGTCTGGGTTGTACTCTGATCCTTCTGCATTTTAGGTTCTGAGGCTGGATCACTTGGCTATTTTAAAAGTGGACAGACATGAGCCCAGGACTACCCTGTGACCAAATCTCTGTCCTCATGGTCAGAATTGGCTGGAAGCTGACATTGAGCCAGAGGCCATCGTCCTGGTCCAATCTGGGAAGGATCTCCCCTATTCCAAATAGAGTTCCCTGCCTCCCATGCTGAGAGGCCCCCCCAATCTTCCCATATGGTTGTCCCTTTCGGGAATGACTTGGCAGCAGCTGCCCCATTGCAAAAACGTCATCCCAAAGTTGCCACTGACCATGAGCATCCACTGACATTTCATTTCATCTTAAGGGCTAACAGGCATCACCTCAAGCAGAGTCACCGTAGAACAAGACGCAGGGCAGGTACGCTTGGATGGGATGGGTGGGAGGACGGTTGAGATACTAATTGCATGTAATTACTTTGGAAATTTGGAAAAGAAGTCTGGCTCTCTGGGAGTCAAGACACAATCATTGAGGACTAGGGAGTGACAGACACTGATGGGGGGCTTCTACAAAGGGACAAAAGAGCATAAAAACTGGCATCCACCCACTCCACCAGTGTGTTTTCTGCTGCCATGAAACCTTCTTCTATTCCAGAGTTGTTTCCTCTAAATATATGTGTTTCCCCCTTTTCTGTAAAGTTGGTTTTGATTCCAGCATCAGAGTCAGGCTCCACAAGGCTGACTACACATAGTGGCTGGTCCCTGTGAAGATATCTAAACCACTCTTGAGTTCAGGGGTACTGCTGAGGGCCGTGCTTAGTGCATTTACACTGGGCAGCAGGTATTTAAGTCAAGAACCATATCAACAAGTCATGTTGCAAACATGTGTTGTCAGCTAATAAAACACACCCTCATAGACACCCTTGCTCAAATAGACATGCACACACATATACAGGCCATTCTGCTACATTATAACCTAAGCTTAGTTCTATTCATTTCATTTCAGCAATTCTTGATTTCTTTGCCAGATATCAATGGTAACTGGGCCTTTAGACACTTGATGGTACCTGCTTAAATCTTTGGTTGCCAATTCATTCTCATGGCTACCAAAAAAGTGATCCTTGAGGTAAAAATAAGCTTGGTAAGAACATTAGGATTTTAATACCCCAGATAGAGTCAAACAAACAAAAAAGGAAGTGAGAAATCAGTGGATAATTTGCTGTAAACTCATATTAAATTATAATAAAAAACTTCCACACACCTGTCATACAGACAGTAGATTTCTGTTCCAGTTACAGGTAACTGTGTAGTCTGCCATTCATTTAAGAAGGTTTATATAATTTGTGTTCAGACAGATAAATGAACAATGAAAAAACAATGAAACAAGGTAATGAAATTGTTGCCATGTCTCCCTAACAGAACCCTGATTTGGTTAAGGTTTGGAGAAGCAATGTGTTGGGGAAGG